AAAAAAAAAAATGGAAATATTAGTTTTTTTTCCTGGAAAATTATGTTGACCATAACATGTAACTAATGAGGAAAGTAGAAATCATCCTTTCCACTGAAGCGAGAGAAATATGAGATGCAGGTCAAAGGGGATTAAATATTGGAAACCAATGATTTGTCATAGGTGGTATATATGTAATGTTGACCTACAAAAAGGGCAGCCCGGTGCACTAAGCTCCCGCTATGCGCGGGGTCCGGGGAAGGGCGAGATCACAAGGGTCTATTGTACGCAGCCTTACCCTGCATTTCTGCAAGAGGTTGTTTCCACGGCCTGAACTCTAGTAAAAAAGAGATTAACGATTTGTTTGTCCACCTGATAACAAAATCATTCCACAATTGTTTTTTAGCAAGTGCCAAGTGCAGATATGGTCACATGGGTTCATGTGCATGCAACATGTGAATGACATGGGCGTTCAGCATGTGCGGGGCATGCAAAAGAAGACAAGCGTGCAGCATGAGTGTCAAGGCTTGTCGCTTGGTGCCAAAAAGGGGCAATTAGGCGCCAAGGTTGGCTGTTGACACAGGCAGTCCTGGCACATGGGGCAGTTAGGTAGTTGAAGGCTAATTCTATCCTGATGGCTGTTGGCATTGTCTGAGCTAGACATGTGCCGATGTGCCATGGTGGCAGATAGATTTTGTTGGACCATTGAATTCCCCAAAATGTTGCCTAGTAGTTGGGGATGCCAACTGCATGTTAAGATTAACTTAGCATCTGCCAAGTGTCCCCTTGGTCCTTGTAACTGTCATTGGTAGAATATATGGCCATGGCTGGCTGATGGCTAAGGCATCGAGTGTTGTAAACATTGCCAACTTGTGAGTCCTTTTTGTAATTGATAATTAACATAAAGGCCGGAAGATTGCCTGAAAATAATGCCAAGACCCTAAGGAACCTCTGTTGAGTGAAAGGTTGAGTCAAGTGACTTGAGTGCCGTGCAGGAAAGTTTTGGTGAGAAAATTAATCCTGTGACCACTAGCATAATATGGACGAGTGTTTGACACTAGTGGCTTTTCGCTTTCACCACTTAGCTTCTTTGCTAGGAAAACCTATAGTTGAAGGGTTATGCCTACTCCTAATACCACATCCTAGGCAATAGGCATAGCGTTTACAAAAACAAGAACTATGGAACTCTCTTTCAGTGTATCTAAATATATGGTTCTGAGCTTTGTTTCACGTCCAAGATTGAGGACTAGCATAATATGAAAGTGTGCTTGATATTGGTGGCTTTTGGCGTTTCACCACTTAAGCTTCTTTGCCAGAGCCAGAAAAACAGTAATTTGAAGGGTTATGACCCTTAATACCATGCCCCAGCTAGACTTCTCCAAAACAAAGGATAGTGGAATTCAGTTGCTAAATTCTCAGGATGGTGTCTAGAATGTGAATTTTCCTGACCCTGGAATAACAATATATATTCCACATTGCTTATACAGGATCAAGACTAAATATGAGTGTCGGAGTCGGTACTGAATTTTCATATCTGAAATAGGAGAAAGTTAAGCATTGCCCAATTCTTCTGCCATGTTCCATATTCCATTTGAAGTTTGATGTTGGTCGCCGTTGTCTAATTGTAGGAGCCAAAGAAATGCCATCTTTAACTTTTCTTTCACTGAAAATGTCTATTAAACCCAGAATGGAAATGTTTTATGTGTATCATGTTCAGTTTGAGGAAACTGTCTATCTTATATGTACCATTTCCTTTCCTCATTCTTTAAATAAAACTCTTTCCATTATTCCAGGTATATCGCTGACCAGTTTACTATCTGAGAAGCAAAAGGAGTTCGATGATAAGTTTAAAAAATGCTTTAGCCTATCTGATGAGGTATCGAACAGTCAACGATGATTTTGCTTGTCTTCGTATTCTAACATTCTGTTAGCTTGGCATATAATCTCTGTCCAAAATTATGTAACAAATCGTATTCGGATGTTAGATCTGAGTTATTCTCAGTTCGAAAATGGATTATAAACTACTATGCCTTTATTATACAGAGGACCGAAATACTAGAATATACTAAAAGCTACAGTCAAATTTTAATTTTATCTACTCTCGGAAACTGTCTCTATTTGTGATGGAGGGATACTTCTATTGTGCAAGTTCCTTTGATACCCTTCGCCCAAAGTGTGCCTGGGATTCACCTGAAGAGCATATATTATTCTATTATGCTATTTGCAGTTCATGTGATGTGCATGAGTGAGATTATTTAACTGAATTACTTGTACCACACAAATATATGCAACATAGATTTGGGTAAGTTACATCATGCGTGCATAAATGCGGATATTTTAACTGAAACTAATATGTTGTACTACTATACTATACGCTGTATGAATCTGGGAAAGTATGCCTACTCAAGCAAGTCAGTGCTCCTAACACCATCTATATAGTTATAGAGTTGTTCTGTTTCTATCAATACACATCTCAATTTCACTATGTAATTTGATCACATGGACTGAATTCAATCTTTGAGTACTCTATAAGTTCTTTCAGATGCTAGGAGAAATATGAATGTCTATCGAGCTGATGACCTAATTGTACCACCTTTCAGATGCAATATTACTTGCAGTTGGAAGCCATTTTTCCTTGTATTAACTTCCGTGATGCAGCATATCCATGTATATAAATATAAAATGCTGAAATGTTTCCGTCTCGTCTTTTCAGCTTGGTTTGGAATCTGTGAGTGTTGGTAAGGTTGCTCTGGGGAACATGTTGGGTGGGATTGGCTACTTCTTTGGCCAATCAAAGATTTTGCTTCCATCAACCTCCACTGTAAGATGTTTTAGTTTTGGTTCTCTGCTATTTTAATAAACTCGTGACATGTACAATACTAACCCAATGATCAGTTTTAAGTAACTTTGTGATCTCTACTATGCCAGAAATGTCTCTTAGCTCTATGATCAAGAACTTATCATCATATCTGAGCCTCAAATGTACCAACAAATAAAGTAAGAGCCTAAAACATTGGCCACATAAGGGCTTTCGTCTAGTGGTAAGAGTGCAATGTGTGTAAGTAGATAAGTGGATTAGGCGCACATCACGGGTTCGAACTCTGCCGCAAACAAAAGCCTAGTATTTAAGTGGAGAAGGGTAGAGGGGTGGGCCCATCATCCACGGAGTTTAGCATTGTGTGCCATTGGCCCTCGGGTATTTCTCTGTTATAAAAAAATAGCCACATAAGGGAAGTTACTCAAGTAACTATATGTCTCTTTTCTACGCTTGTTTACTGCAAGAATGCTCAGGCGATACTGCAATTAAGAGTTACATTAGTTAGTATATGAAGGGATGATTTTAGGATTGGTGCTATTGTGTGAGTTTAAGATATGGGAAGAAAGAATTTCTCTTGTATTCATTTGTGTCTTACAGTGGCCCTATTTGTATAGGGTGTTTACATAGTACTAAACCCTTCTCTACCAATGTGGGACACTATACATACTAGTATACATACTATCTCTCTAACACTCCCTCTCAAGCCGATGTATATAAATCATATGTACGAGCTTGTTACATATGTAACTCATGCGAGGACCAATGAGGGACTTGGTGAAAATATCTGCAAGCTGAACATTTGACTTCACAAACTTTGTGCCAATATCTTTAGAGAGTATCTTCTTTTTGATGAAGTGACAGTCAATCTCAATGTGTTTAGTCCTCTCATGGAACACTGAATTTGACGCAATATGAAGGGCAACTCACACAAGTTATTTTAATTCTCTGAACAACTGTTTGATCCAAACTAGTTCACATGTTGTCATAGCCATTGCCCGATATTCCGCTTCTGCGCTAAATCAAGCAACCACGTTCTGTTTTTTGCTTTTCCAAGAGACCAAATTATCTCCTACTAAAAAATAATATCCAGACGTAGAACGTTTATCAGAGGGTGATCCTGCCTAATCAGCATCTGTGTATCAAATGATCAACTCATGACCTCGATCCTCGAATAGTAGCCCTTTGCTTGGAGCTGATTTTATATACCGAAAATGCGGACAACTGCATCCTAATGACTATCATAGGGAGAGTTCTTAAATTGACTTACCACACTCATAGGAAAACCCCCCCTTACGGATCATTTCACTTACTTGACTGGTTCGCTTTCCAAGTTACTCACTTCCGTTCTATCGGGATAAACTAGCGATATGAGAGTTAGCCCGTCTTCGATGACTGGTGATTCGGTAAGCGAATGATTCGACGCATAAATGTCTTCAATTTGCCAACCAGCCTCCTATATCTTTTAGGATCGCTAAGAGGCTTCCCCTGTCCTAGCAGAAGCTTAGCATTCAGATCATAGGAGTGTCAATGGGTCTGCAATCCATCATTCCTGTCTCCTCAAGAATGTTTAAATCATATTTCCTTTGTGAAATAACAAATACCCGAGCTAGACTGAGCAACCTCAATACTTAGAATGTACTTCAATTTGCCCAGATCCTTAGTCTGGAAATGCTGAAAGATATGTTGCTTTATATTAGTAATACCATTATTATCATTGCTAGTAATAACGATATTGTCAATATAAACCACCTGATAAATACACATATTAGGAGTAGAATGTTGATAAAACACAGAGTGATCAGGCCGAACTCCTGAATAACTGTGCTGAATTTACCAAACCAGAGTCGAGAAGACTGTTTCAAACCATAGAGTGACCTGCGCGATCGACATACAAGACCACGAGACTCCGCCCGAGTAACAAAACCAGGTGGTTGTTCTATATAAATTAGATCCTCAAGATCACAGTGGAGAAAAACATTTTTAATGTCCAACTGATAAAGAGGCCAATGACGAACACCAACTATGGATAGAAAAAGGCGAAGAGATGCTACTTTAGTCACGGGAGAGAAAGTATCACCGTAATCAAGCTTAAATATCTTAGTATACCCTTTGGCGATAAGTCGAGCCTTAAGCCGATCAACTTGGCCGTCCAGGCCAACTTTGACGTCATAAATCCAATGACAACCAACAGTAGATTTTGCTGAAGGAAGAGTAACAAGCTCCCAAGTGCCACTAGCTTGTAAAGCAAGACATCTCTTAGATCATAGCATGTCGCCATCCAGGATGAAATAACGCTTCATTTGTGGACTTAGGGATAAAAATAGAGGACAAAGATGATACAAAGGCATAATGGGGTGATGATAAATGATGATAACTCAAACCAATGTAATGGGGGTTGGGATTAAGAGTGGATCGAATACCTTTCCGAAGTGCGATCGCTAGACTAGAAGGAGACAAGTCCGCAGTAGGAGAAGAATCTAATACAGGACGTGAATCATCTGGACTTGTTGCTGGACGCTGGCAACGATGATAAGTCAATAATAATGGAGCTGTAGAAGGTTGGATTGGAGCTATAGGTGATGGAACTAGAGCTATAGGTGATGGGACTGGAGTTATAGGTGGTGGAGCTGGAGCTGTAGAGGAAGCTGAAGGGGAGATAGTGACTAAATCTCCAAAAGATGGAACTGGTAAGACCTCAGAAATATTTAAATGATCTCCTGGACCTGTGAAGTATAGCTGGGTTTCAAAGAAGGTAACATTAGCAGACATAAGGCACCGCTAGAGGTCAGGTGAATAGCATCGATATTCCTTTTGCATACTTGAGTAAGCTAGAAATACGCACTTAAGAGCTAAGTTGCGCGGACTCTTCATTTTTGGTGCCGCACCCGTCTCGACACGGGATGAGAGCGGGTGCGGGAGCGGGATACGTCCCGGATTCGGTCAACTAACTTCGGATACTTTGACCTAAATCCATCGACAAATTTGGGGGGAAATTGAGATTTTGATTTCTCAAAATTAAAAATAAAATAATTTAAGACATGAAAAATAGCATACTTTCAATATTATAGTACTTTTGTCTCATATTTGCTACTTTGTGTTCCAGAAAAATCAAGAATTCAAGGGGTCGTGTTCTGAGTTCGGACTTATAGCTTTATTTTTTATAATTTGGATTTTTTAGCCGAATCCCCGCACCCATATCCATACCTGGATCCGCACCCCCGAATCTTAAAATTTAGATTTTGCCGAATCCGACACTCGGATCCGTGCCCGTATCGGATGCCTGCACCCGAGTCCGAGCAACTCAGCTTAAGAGCACGAGGAACTAACTTATCTTTTCTTGGAGTAAGGTTGCGAACAAAAAATGTGCACCCAAAGACAGGGTGAAAGATAGAGCAAAAGTGAGTGGGGAAACAAGATAGAGGACGAAACTTGATTCTTGATAGCTAAGGATGACATACGATTAATAAGATAACAAGATGTGAGATCGGAACATGAGATTGTATGAGTAGGATACGAGCAGTCTCAATGAGATGCTGCCTATTCTCCCTTTCAGCTAGCCCATTTTGTTGAGATGTATATGGATAAGATGTTTGATGAATGATCCGATGAGAGTTCATAAACTGCTAAATGGAGAAGACATACCCTGGCATTATCACTATGCGGATAGAAACCCCAAATTGATTTTGGATTTCAGCATGAAAGGTCTAAAAAATAAAAAACAACTCAGATCAATTTTTCATCAAGAATATCCAAGTGCACCTGGAATAATCATCAATAAAATTGTCAAAGTAGTGGATTCCCAAGGTAGAACTAACTTGACTAGGACCCCAAACATCTGAATGGACTAAAGTGAAAGGTGAATCTACCCGATTATCAGGATGCAGAGGGAAATGTGAACGGGTATGCTTACTGAGCTGATATGAGTCGTGGGAACAGACTGGGTACCATTTTCCGAAGTTCTGATAAACTGGGATGTTTCAACCGTTTATGTAACAAATCCGGTGAATCAATAATAGGTTAAGCAGTTGAAGGAGGACAAGATATGAGTTCGTGTGATTTAGCAAGGATAAGGTAATAAAGTTTATTTGATTCACTCGCGATACCAACGATCCGTCCCATACTGCATTCCTGTATAAAACAAGTCATCAAGAAATAAACAGAGCAATTAAGTGATTTGCCTAAGTGACTAATAGATCTGAGATTAAAAGGACTACCAGGAACATAAAGAACTGAATTCAAAGGTAATAAAAGAAGTTGACTAGCTTGACCTATTCCAGTTAACACGGTTTGAGATCCATTGGCCATTGTGACTGTTGAAAGTGATTGAGAGTAAGAAATAGTAGTGAAAAGAGATTTGTTACCACAAATATGATCAGATGCACCTGAATTAATGACCCAAGAGTTGGGAAAAGAAGATTGGGAGACACAAGTCATGCTATTACCCGTTTCAACAACAGAAGCTATCTCAAAAGATGTCTGTTACGTGTTTTTTAGTTTTTACTGAAGGAACCAGTATACTTTGGTAGAGAAACCATCCAACTATTCAACATATTCATTGCCATTTGTTGGAGTCAAAAATCAAATAACCTCCCGTAATTATGCCAACTTCGCGAAAACTCGCCGAAAACAAAAAATGGGCGAACAATACCGGTACAACTTTAGATAAATGTTGCAACAATGAGGAAAAGCTGGAAACACTCTGTATGTTGCCGGAAAATATTGTTCAAGCGGCTGAAATTAGAGTATGCGACCACTAAGAACCAGAAAAACAAACCGGAATCTAGAAAATTTTGAAAACAGTCACTGGAATTTGAAAACGTTTGCTAGAATCTGGAAAGAATCGCTAAGAATCGTTGGGATGTGGTGGAATCTGAATGGATAGGGTCGGAATGAATAGTCGATCTCCAGAGAGGAAAAGTTCTCGCTGGAATCTGCCGGAGTGAGTCTCACGCGCCGGCATGTGGCTGGATCTCGCTGGAAAATTCCTCCTTCCGGTCGGCGCG